CTGTGATGGATGAGCCTTCTCAGACCCTTCTTTCACAAGGTACGTAATGGTGTATTCTTGGACAGAGCCTTCCTTCTGGGGAAAAAAGGATCAGTTTTAGCACAACTTACAGGTTCAAAGCAGGAAGATCACCTTTGACTTCGACAACAAGAACCACAAAACACCCTGATATGCCTCTTTAGTTTTGAAACAAGTTCATAATCTCAGCAATTTAAGAAGGCATTGAGACACTGAGCTCAAAGATAAAACCTGCCTGTATAAATCTAGTGAATTTCCTGTGCTGAGGTGGTGCATGCATGTGCAGTGCTTTAAGATTTTAGGAAAACTAGATTACATTCAAGAGACAAGCAAAAAAGTATGTTACATTTACAATATGGACAAGAGAGTCAAATTGGTGACAGTGGCTGCAAGGAGTGTGCACTCCTCTCTAATGGCAATACAGTGGAGAGTGGTGGTTTTTGCAAGACGTTCTATTTAGCATTTCTTCAATTTCCTGCACTGAAGTTCTCCACCCAGTTTGCCACTTCTGGTTCTCGAAAATACCTCCCACAGCCTTAAAATAGGCTGAAAAGCCATCTTGAAATGGCCAAATGAACTCACTGGGAGGCTTATGGACGTGTGATTGGTCGTTTTTGGCTAAGAATAATTTTGGGGGATGAGGGACATAGGGATCTGCTGAAAAGGCCTTGTGGGATCCCATGGATTCACACCCTGCCCACTCAATATATGTCAATGCAGGTAGCAATAAAGGGCATTTTGACAGTAAATTGATCTCAGTCTTTTGACATACTTTTGCATAGGGTTGCTAGATTGAAAAGTGAGAAGGGATCCTGTACTTTTAATGGTTATGTCAAAGAGGGATTTTTTGGGCAGGTGTTGCTTGTAACAAAAGCAGCTAACAAGCAAGCTTCCTTAAATTCCCTCTTGTACATAATCACTAAAGGTACAGGAGCCCTCTCTAGTTTTAAATCTAGTAATCTTACCTTTCTGTGTCTCCATGTGCCTGTGTGGGTATGGAGGCAAAGACTGCCCCAAAACTCTGATGAATATTTAAAAATTTGGGAGGAGGGCTTGGGAAGGCCACAAAAAGGCTCACACTTTGCCTTCTTCGCCAAGAAAACACTGAAAAAAGGGTTGGCAAAGGTGCATGGACAGCAGCCTTGGACACTCAGGGCTGCCTTCAGCTTCAGAGGAGAATTTGAACAAAATGCAACAGGGCAAAAGGTGGGAAAGAATGACCATTTTTGCTTTTTCAGTCATGCCTTCTCTTTTTAAAACTTAAAGTTACTATTGGCTGGAAGGCTCAACCATGGGATTTTGATAAATTCTTCAGAAATGAACTGAAACAAGTTTGCACCTGTCAAATTCAAATGGTATTAACATGGGTTAGACCATGTGGTACCTGCCTGCCATATAGGTGTTAAAAGATAAGGGGAAGGAAGGGTAATTCAGCACTAATATGGTTGAATATTCAGGGTTTCCAAACTGGGCAAATTATGAGTCAAGGGCCCAGATGAAGAAATGTGTCAGTTTCACTTTCTTCCACATTCCAGTATTTTTATTCTCAAAGTCTTTCCATCCAAATATGAAGATATTTGCAAATTTTGGTGAATTCTTCTCAACAAAAGGGTGAAATGAAATTCTCGTCCATCCTTGGCCCTGAGCAGTGGTAACCAAACAGCAGCAGCACTCTTCAACTGTGTCCAAGCAACCTGGCATTCAGATGTAATACTGGTGCAAATATTCACTTTACGCTGCAGTCATCGTGTAAAGAGCAGGCACTTCCGAGGGAGCTCATAAGCCCCCGATTCTGCTACAGAACCAGAGTTCATCGTATACCTTCTGCTCCCAGAGCCTTTTGGCTGGGACTCAGTAGAAGCCCCTGCTTGCCTGCCAACAGACACTATTTGCATTTGTACTCTGCATAACAACATGACTGTCCTTTCATTGTTTGATTCTCTGGCCTCATTTTCTAACAATAGTGCTTCACTCCACCACCATTTACATAAGGGTGTGTGTGTATGCCAACTTCATCCTTTATAGAAAAGAGGACTCTGCCCATAGAAGCCTGGACTCCAGCAAATGTGTTAGCCTAAAGAGGCCACAATATCCTTAATTTCACCCGTGTCATGCTCCTGACAGCAGGAAAGCTTTCAAGTCAACAGCTTTGTGGCTTGCAAACATTTGCTGTTTTCATCTGATACCATATGTGCCTCCTACTCTCTTCAATCTCTTTCTCTCTCTTTCTCTTTCTCCCCCACCTCCTCTTCCCACAATATCAAAAGCTGTGGTATGTTTTGCCATGGACTGCCACGGCTTTCTTTGGCAGGTGGCACAGAGTGTGAATGTTTGTGGCACCACAATTACCCCCATGCCATGACAAACACCCTGATTTGTTGCCTAACACAGTTGGTGCGGCTGGCACATCAAGAAGCTAGACATCCCACCCAACCCTTCTGAGCCCCCCATGCCATCTGTTTAGCTTTGTGAGCCATTCTGTAAAAGCAGAAGCCTCCATGCCTTTTGGCAGTCTCAGCACCCCTCCCCACAACCTCTCCTCCTCACTTTGGGGGAAAGACTGAGCAAATGCCAAATCCCTGCATCTGGCATGGGCTGAAACATGTTTCATTCAGTCAGAGAGAGAAAGAGAGAGATTCTGCATCAAGAAAATGAAGTAGTCCCTGAAGTCACATTCATTGAGACAAGGCTGCATTACAAAAAGTAAAGGGGAAAAACAGCAGCATGAACATAAGAGTCACTTCATGGGATCAAAGCACCACTTAGTCTATCATCTTACCTCCCACACTTATCAACCAGATGCCTCTGGAAACCCCACAAACTGGGCAGGAAGACATCCTTTTCCCCTTGATGATACTCATCAACTGGCATTTGAGCCTAGAAAAGCAGATAGGCTTCGACAGACATCCTCCATGAATTTGTCTCTCCCTTCAAGACCATCTGAGTTGCCTTATATACAGAAAAGCAAACTATAGTTGGTCCTCCAAATCCATGGATTTTTTTAAATCCACAGCTTGAAAATATTTTTAAAAATGTAACTTCCAAAAAGCAAAGCTTGATTTTGCTATTTTATATAAGGGGCACCATTTTACTATACCACTGTATTTAATGGGACTTGAGCATCCACAAATTTTGGTATCCACAGAGGATCCTGGAACCAAGGGCCTACTTTACTGGCCTATCTAAAACATGTCCAGAGAAGGGCAACCAAGATGATCAAAAGTCTGGGAAACTAAGCCTTAGAAGGAATGGTTGAGAGAGCTGGGTATGTTTATCTTGGAGAAGACTGATAAGATAGCTATCTTTAAATCTGTCAGGTAGGAGAGAGCTTGCTTGTTGCTGCAAGATTTAGTTTAGAGACTAAAACATGAACCAATGAATTCAAATTACCAGAAAAGAGATTTTTCCTAGACACTAGGAAGAACTTCTTAACTATAAGAGCTATTTGACAGTGGTGGTGGACTTTCCTTCTTTGGAAATCTTTAAACAGAAGTTGGACAAGCATCTTTCAGAAGTGTATTTCTGCATGGTTGGAGATTGGATGAAATGATTCTTGTGGTCCCTTCCAACTCTATGAATCTATGAGCTTGTCATGTAATATTTAATGCAAACTTCAGCAAGGAGGTGAACCCTCTAGATGTTTGTAGAGAGATCTTGTAGCACCTTTGAGACTAATTGAAATAAAGAAGTTGGCAGCATGAGCATTTGTAGACTTCAAATGCTCATGCTGCCAACTTCTTTATTTCAATTAGTCTCAAAGGTGCTACAAGACCTCTCTACATACTGATTCTACAGAACAACATGACTATATCTTTGAATTCTACCTCTAGATGTTTGGGATTGCAGCTTCCACTGTCCCTGATCACTGGCCATGTTGGGTGAAGTTGCAGCCACAAAGACAAAAGATGGCACCAAGCTTAGAAAAAGCTGCTCCCGTCACAGTGACAGTGGCTCTCTCCCCAAGCTACCCAGCACAGTAGATGTGTTTCCCAGCTCAGTTCTGTAGTGCATGGACAATCCATATCATTTCAAACACACACATAAATCTCTTGATTTATCTGTACTCCGTGATCAGCAAGCGAATGCCAGAGCCAAGAGTGAATTTGATAAAGCACTGCCTTTGGAGTGAACTGAGGAAATACAGAAATTGTATCCATGATAACCCAATAAATTCATCACTTCATATTAGCCAGTTGTAGGTATCATAGGAAAAAAGAACACACTTGTTAAAAGAGGGGAAAGTTTGACCCTCTAAATATTTTGTACTTCATCTTCTAAAAGCTCCAGCTTTTTTTTTTTTTCCCAAGGATGGGGTCGTCAGAAATATTATACAGAATCTCTGGAGGGTAAAAGGTTTGTCTTTTGTACCCTGTTTGAGAATCATACTTTTTAATAAAAATCTGCAAAATCTGGAAGTCAAGAAGCCTGTATCAAAGGAACCTACCTTGTTAAGGCAAACCACTGGTCCACATAACTCTGTATTACCTACACTGACTGGTAGCAGTTTTGCAGGGTTTCAGGCAGGAAACTTTCCCACCTCTTTGGAGATGCTGGGGCCCGATCCTACACCGTGTATATAGGCTCTTTACCAATAAGTCAGACAGTCAGATGCAGCCTCTTGGAAATAACCTAACAGCAGATCCAGGGCACCAAGTCAGAGATGGGGAAAAAAGTAACTGGCAATCTACTGGTGGATCTCTGAGTGATTTGAAACAGACTGGAAAAGATGTCTGACTTGCACTTGTTAATAACAGCAGGAACAAAAGGCCTCTCAACCTGCCTCCGTTATATTATGTATCTGCAGGATGGTGGATTTTTGTGTGGAAGGATGATAAACTCCATTCAGTTTTTATTGTTGTTGCTGTTCTTGTTGTGTACCTTCAAGTCATTTCCAACTTATGGCAACACTAAGGCAACCCTATCACAGGGTTTTCTGGGGCTGAGAGTGTGTGACTTGCCCAAGGTCACCCAGTGGGTTTCCATGGCCAAGCAGGGAATCGAACCCTGGTCTCCAGAGTCATAGTTCAACACTCAAACCACTATACGCTACTGGCTCTTCAGTTCTGATACTCAAAACAAATCCCTAAGCTCAGAATTCTTCAGCTCTAGGTGTTTGTCTTTTGCACCTGGGTCCAGCTGATGATCTTGTGGCTCAAGTAAAAATAACAGCAGCAGCAAAGCACCTAAAGCCTAAAGTCTGCTCTTCCCATTCTCTCTCTGTGGCCTCCCAAAGCTTCCACTGTTTAATGGTTGAAACTACCACTTTACTTATGAGCACCCCAGAGGTAACAGATGCAAAAGAAAAAGATTCTAGATTCCAGGAAACCAGGTGACATTTTACTGCTATCACAGCATCCTAGACAGAGGTGCCTGTTTGTAACATTTGAAAGGATTAGTCAATATTTTTCAGGTGCCCTGACTTCCTAAGGTATTTGAGGCACTAAAATTTCTCATTAGTTTGCACAAACAAGAAGAAGCTTGTCCATGCAAACTCTAGCATGTCAGGCCAACCAAGTAGGTTATTTATTCTTTATAGTTCTGCTCCTCCTTTCTTCTACAGAATTCAAGGTGGTATCTGCTGGGTTTGCTAGCTAGTTCCCACCCAGACTTCTTGAGCACCAGCAAAGCGGCTGCATCATGTGCCTCCAAGACTAGATCTTTGGACTGGAGCTTGGAAAAATTCTTTTAATTTTGGTCCCTGCAAAAAGTAACATTTCCCACCTCTCCACTGGATCAACCAGATGAGGAGAACACAGGGCGTTTCCCTAATATCTTCAGTACCTGTGAGAATGAGAACTGTCCAAGAGATGGGAAGAGAAACCTACCACTCACCCATGAAACTGCTTCTCTGCTACAAGCTATAAGAAAGCAAGCACAACCAAAGTAGATGGGCCCTTCTTTAGTACTAACCAGGTCGCTGACATTGCCCGAAGGAAGCAGCGTCAGGCTGCAAGGTTCTGCACGGCGTTTCCCATGTAGCCATAGAGCCAGAAAGGCAAAGATGCGAGGAAGCTTGGGTTTCTTAGCCACATCCATCATCCCATCCCGGCCAAAGTGGCACATCTCCAACTAAGAGGTCTTCTGAGTTCCCTAAGGAACCATGGTTGATCTCTGTAGGCACACCATCAGCTGGAACATGCTCCGTTTCGCAAAGGACTAGCCACCAACACAGGTGGCAAAAGCCAAACCAAACGGAAGTATTGTGGCAGCACAGGTTTAAAAGTACAGCAGCTTGAAAGCAGAGCTTCCTGCCCTCCCTTGAAGCAAAACACTTGTGGTAAAAGTCAATTTTTGAAACTTTGTAGCCCAGTTTCACTTTTGTTGTTCAAAGCCAACTTTTGTCCTAAACTCTACAGCATGTGTTATTGCATTTTAAAAATAAATAAATACATTAATCTCTATAAGACGTAAATCTTATTTCCTTTCCACCAGTGTGGAAACAATTTCTGTTTCACAGCAAAGACAGATTGTAGTCATTACCAAAAACAAGAAAGAAAGAAAGAAAGACACAAAGAAAGAAAGAACCCTATCATGCAGACATGTCGAATTTCTGCAATTACCATGACCAGTAGGGCTACATTTCACATGGAGAAAACTGGTTAGAAAAAGTGGGAAGTGCTTCTTACAACAATCAAAGTAGCCCTAGATGTGCAGACCCCATGACAACTCCCGTCAAGTGGGAAAATCCAACTCTCACATAGGTTTATGTATGTGCCTTATAACGGTTCATTATTCCCATATCTCCAATTCTGTTTGTCTACCACTTACTATGCATGAGTAAAAATGAGGTGTAGAAGTTTTAAAAAACCCAATCTAGTCTTCCTAACTGTAGAAGCTTGGAAATATAGCTACAACACAACATAACCTTGAAAATGTTTCTTAGCAGCCATTGTGACACTTTTCCATTTGCCTCAGGTCAGCAGGGAGAAATCGATTTACAGCTTGGAACAAGCTCCACTTGATGCATCTGTGTGGATGTGTAATGGTGGCAGAAGGCTAAATTTTCCTCATTGATAATACACACATACTACACACACACACACACCAATAAGAAGTTTTATTGATTAGTTGACTGACCATATCAAGAATAAAATATAGTATTTCAAGTACAGATTCAGCGTATCAAAAAACAAATTTGCCTTGCAGCGTGTGATTCCCCCCATGCTAACAGGCAACTGGATTAATTTTGTTCCTCTCTCGCAATACGAACATGATTTTGTGAATAAATGCGCTGAAAAGTTTGCAGCTTACATTCAAATTGTCAGTGCCAAGTAGAGCAGACCCACTAAATCAACAGAATTTATTCAAATGTGTTTTTTGGGAAGAGAAATAAATTTCATCAGTTGCTCATTTCTCCCTTTTGCAACTCCATCTGCTCTTTCTGAAGGGCTGGATTTATTAGAAAGGGCCATGGGTAGGTAGGTAGGATTGGAGAAAATGGTTTCTCCACTTCACTGGGGGGATGTTTTGCTAGACCTGGACAACACCTGCAAAAGGAAAGAGGCTCTCTGTTCATAAAAATCTGGTTAGAATTGCAAGCCTTTATGTATTGGTAATAGAGTGTAAAAATCTGTTGCATTGTGCGTTCTTAAGGTCTATAGTATTTCTTCTTTTTTAAAATATACACCTTTCCTTTCAGTGCTCTCTCCCCAAAGCAGAATAAAAACAACTGTTCCTTGTTTCCCCACCCATTGCACGTAAGACCACTTTTCCCCAATATTCCGTTCACACTCTCCAAAAATGGCTGAAGGCTCCTCCTCAATAAATTACTTTAGCCTTATAAAGAATACAGTTATTTCTTTAGCCTTATAAAGAATACAGTTCTCTGACTCTTTCCCAAAGATGACAATATATACAGAAAGAGAAGGAAAAATCTACTAGTGTCCTCCTTGAACTGTGGCATGGACAGCTGCAAGCACGAGAGCGGAAAAACCACACAATTAATACTTCAATGAGTATCAAAGTAGACTGCTGTGATGCTCTGAGCACCAACAAAGCTGTTCAGCGGAGACTTCAGAAACAATCCAGAAATCAATCCAGTCTGCATACTTGTTCATACATCTACAAGTAGCCCCCAACCAGAGGTGTCAGCTATAAGGTGTAGCCTACTTTTTAAAACAGGGGTAGGCAACCTAAGGCCCGGGGGCCGGATGCGGCCCAGCAAGGCCTTTGGACCGGCCCCAAACCGGTCCTGCCGCCGCCGCCCCCCCCCACCGCCGCCGCCCCCCCATGATGATATTGATTATTGTTGTTATTACTTGTTCTTGGGGTTTTCTTGGCAAAATCTTCACAAGGGTTTTGCCATGGCTTTTCTGGGGCTGAGAGAGTGTGCATGCATTTTTTTAAATTTTTAAATTCTTTTTTAATTTTAATTTTTATTTATTTATTTATTTATTTATGGTGCTTCGGCCCGTCAATTGTCTGAGGGACAGCAACCTGGCCCCCGGCTCAAAAAGGTTGCCTACCCCTGTTTTAAAAGATGATCACTTCTATCCATTCTTCAGCAGCTTGTACCAGCTATTTTGTCTTTGATGGCACAACAAAAGACTTTTGCTGTTTCCTCCATCTTTGTTTATCAAAATGACCCTTCCTTTTGGGGTGGGTATACAAAAAACTGAATAGTCTCACTAGATGCTTCTGTATGCAAAGGATGCATACTTTGATATTCTGCACACCATTTCCCAATGTCTCCAGTTTGGCAGCTGAGCCAAGGTCACAATGAGAAGAATTTTGAGAAAACTTTGAAATATGTACCAGCTATTTTGCTACCTGCTTCACTCATAGAAACAGAAATGTGAATGGATGGTAGCTGTAACCATCTGAGAAGGAAAAGAAACATCAACCACGCTTGCTTTTGGGTTTGATGTAGCCTGGTGAACTCTTTGGCAATCAGTTACAGCTTCTTTGTTGAAGTAACCAGCTTTGGCATTTCCAGGCTTAGGTTCAGAGTGAGTTAACAGTACAGATTTCTGAATGAGGCCCACATTAATTCAACTCTAACCCTGTACAGAAACAAATTGCCCCCCTCTCAGCATCAATTTATGACATACAAAAAAGGTGAGGATGTGAAAGAAGAGAGCAGGAGTGCTGCAATGATGTATCTTTTACCTTATCAGCAGTGTTCACAGAAGAGTCTTTCTCTATCCAAGTGGGTTCCCGTTTTGCCTGCAGAACAAAGAAAAATTAGTACTGGAATGCCAATAGATATTCAAACACCATTTTCCTCAAGTTTTCATCTGAAGAGCAAACGTCATTTGCAGGCATTGCTAAATTGCCAATCAGAAAAAAAGTACAATATGTACAAGATTATCAATTACCATGTCTTCAGAACTGATAGTATTGTGGTATGGTATGCACAGTATATCATATTTTAGTTTTCAAAATTTTCAAGTAAAGCTTCTAGTACATACTGACACAACAAATTGGAGAGGGGATTAAATTTCTCTCTGCCATTCTCTTCTGTTCCAGAAATGCTTTAAAGCAGAGCTTGGAATTTTTTTGGAGGGGGAAGAAGGGAGTATTAATTCATTCCCATTACTCTTTACAATGTTGTGTGTGAATGTGTAATTTGTTGTGTTAATCATTACGCTTTGCTCAAAAGGAAATCATTCATTTTATCTTTCAGTAGCACATTGCTAATGCACTACTTTTTAATAGCTTTTTTTAAGAACCAAAAATCTCTCACCTTATATAGCCCTAAATCCCCTAAAAGTAACATTTGAGTAGTAGTAAGTAAATAGTATACATATTGTTCTACTTTTAGAAAATTAAGAGCATTACCATTCATTATCCAGAAAAGTGATGCATTGCAGGTATAGTTTTGCTACTTTGACCACATTACTTTCCAAGCTCTTGTTTGAATCCTGGAAACAGAAGGCACTGAGCAACAGTGCATTAAACATATGCCATAAGCAAGCTTGCAGAATTTAGGGGCTTTTGGGTACCAGTATCAACAACCTTACAAGGAGCCAGAGAGCTAAACACAGCTCTGTTTGAACATTCCCTTCCAGTTCTTATCCCCAATAAGCTACTTCTATTCCAGCATTTTTCCGTTCCTCCCACCTTTTCAATGCTTAGAGTGGACAAGAATTTTTAACCTCTTTTTAAAGAATCCCCATGGATTCAAATCCCCCCCCCCCCGCTGCAATGAACATTTTGGGGAAACTCAGATTTCTAACTAACATGCATATTTAAACAGAAATAAATAGTCTTGAATCGTAAGCTTGCTTTATCCTTACAGCTGATGATTGTCTGGAGAGGCCCTTCTCTTGGTCCAACCACCATCTCAGGCTCATTTGGTGGGAACAAGGGACACAGGGCCTTCTTGGTGGCCTCTCCCAGACTTTAGGATTCCTTCCCTAGAGAGGCCAGGATAGTCCCATCCCTGCTCTCATTTCAACAGCACTCTAATTTCAGATGGCACATTTTCAAGCCATCAGGATTTTTAAACTGATGGAGGTTGGGCTTTTACAGTGCTGTGCAAATTGGATCAAGGCTTGTCTCTAGTTTTTAATGGACCTTAATATATTGAATGTGTAATTGTTGTAACTTTTAAAATTGTTGATCTTTTTTAAACTTCATGTTTATACTTTGTAAATGTTTTAAAATTGTGCTGCTTTAAATTTGCTGTTAGCTGCCTTGAGTCCCTATATTGGGAGAAAGGTGGATATAAGTAAATAAAATAACCACCACCAATATGACCACAACTGCCTCTGAAGAACACCCATATAATGCTCTTCAAATACTTGTTCAAAATCCAGCTTTTCCTGATTGTTGGCCCTTCCATGAAGTCTTTGGCACAATCCTCGTTCTCCTACCTTGTTCTCAACAAACTGATAATTAGGTTTGAGTGCATTCAATGAAATAACCACAGACCACCTCCCTGGTCAAAATCCAATTTTTGTCCCAATACAACTGCACCCATAAAATCAGTGGGAATTTGATAAGTCAACACTTATGTGAGTTTCTTTGATTCAACGGGTCTATGTTATGTAGACAGATCTTGTAGCACCTTTGGGACTAACTAATGAAAGAAGTTGGCAGCATGAGATTCATAGATTTGAGTCTACTTTCTCAGATGCATATGGGGTCTATACTAATTGAGATTAACAACTGGATTTAGGCCCCTCTCCTGACTGAGGTTTCTTCTGTTTTAAATTTTAGATTTTAACTTCCTTGGGGCAAGGACCTGTACTTTTGTACTCTGAAAAGCACCAAATGCACCTTGTTAGAGAGCCAAGCAAGCTTATGCTGAGGAGGCAAGGAAACACCATACATACACAGTAGAGAGTGTCACACCTTGAGAAAATGAAACCTCAAAATACAGGTATTTTTAGCCACTGAGGAAAATTAAAGACCAAAAGACATTTAAAGTTACCATATGCATTTAGCAGATAGCTCCTTCCTCACTGCCTGTCATCCATAACTTGGAGAACTAAGAATAAAGGGAAAGGGACAATTGAAGGGGAGGAGAAACTTAACATTGTAAGCTGCAAATCTATATGCTATGCTAGCAGCGGTGCTGGTGATATCACACCTCAGTCAGTCGTAGCACTTTCTGTTCTACAGAAGCAGACCACAGATAAGTGATCAAATGATGTCGAATTTCCTAGTACTGTGCCTATTTTTAAGCATTGGCAGATGCTCTTTTGACAGTATGGATATGTACAAAAAATTTTCCCCCACTATCAGCATTTGACCAAATTGAAACCTGTCACTAATCTATTCAGTCGGTGTTGGTGAGTGAAAGTGGATGGAGAAGAAAAAGTAGATGCCACAATTCAATTATAAACCTGCCTGTAGTCTCTGGTGCCAGCTCTATTGGCACAGAAATTAGGAATTCCTTCCAAGACTATGAAGAGGTGCCCACATCCAAGAATGAATCCCTTCCCAAAACTTGCCTCTTTTCTTAAGCCTTCGGCTCACTCTTCCTTGGCTTGCATTCCCAGCAAAGATTAATCCCCAATTAATACCATTCATTAGCTCTCCTCTCATCACTTGCATGAGCAGCTTTGAACCTCAGTGATGGGACTGCCAGCATTTGCTCTCTGTTCAGTCCCTGACATTTTCTGTAAAATGGATCAGCAAATCCCAAGATTCCACAATATGCACCCATGGAGATTGGAGTGGAATCATAGTGCTATAACTGTATAGTGTGGAAGTCTTCACAGTCTCAATCCAGCATTCCAATCAGTTCATCACACTGATCCTATGTTACTCTAAAACAATGTGGATCAATGTTATCCTAATAAAGTAGCAGGAGGAGTAATAATGACAACTACAGCAGTTTATTAGTATGCCTGGAGATCCATATTCAAGGTTCCACTGATCCACAAAACTTACTATTTGACTTTAGAATAGAACAGAATCTTTATTATGGTCATAGACCAAGACATATAAAAAGGGGATACAGAATAAAAGGAAGTAAGAAAACAGGTTAAATACAGGTATTTAGCTTGACTTTGACTTTGGGCCAATCACTTTCAGCCTGACTTACCTCACTGGGTTTTTGGAATTTTAAAAAATATATTTGTTCAAGCCATGGATGGGTGAATCTGTGGACGCAGAATCTATGGATACAGAGGCCTGACAGTAAACCACTTTGTGAATTTTTATAAAAATAGCATATAAATGTAATAGTTTCTAAAGAAACAAACTGTCCTTTCTAGGTTAAGGAGGTCCACCACTGAGAAGGGATTACAAATTTTACAACACAAATGATAGCAGATGCAAGAGGACTAAGCTATGTCTAACCATGGAGATCTGGGAGGAGAATATGGATTGTCGTTGTGTGCATTCAAGCTGTTTCTGACTTATGCTGATTCTAAGGGGACCCTATCATGGAGTTTTCTTAGCAAGATTTCTTCAGAGGCTGAGAGTGTGTGGCTTGCCCAAGGCCACCCAGTGGGTTTCAGGAACGAACAGGGAATTGAATCCTAGTCTCCAGAGTCATAGTCCAATACTCAAACCGCTAAGCCACACTGGCACATTCCACCAATGTGATAGTTGCCCTGGGCATGGCCTCTGGAAGTTGTACCCCAGGCTCCAAAATCCAAAATGCTTCTGGTCCCAAGCATTTTGGTTACAGGAGACTCAACCTGATAATAGCTCCTTCCTGACTGTCTGCCCTAAAAATAAGATGCCCAGCATCCTCTAACCTGGGCCATCTCAGCCCCAAATCTCCCAGCCTTGCCAAAAAAGCATAACATTCCCAATGTCTGTGAAGCTGGAGAGAGTGGAAGAGGAGGAAGATTGCAATGCGTGACTCCTGTTCATTCTGGTTTCCATGAATTTTGACTGTCCCTTAATGCTGTTTTGAAAATCTGGCAACACTACCCTGCGGTGGGTCAGGGTCAGGCTTGTGATGCTCTATGCAGGACAAGCAAGGTCCTACTTCAAGTAGCAAGCTTCCACTTCCAAATACAGTTTCAACAGGAAGGTAAAGAAAACTTGCAAATTCTTTCATCCTCAATGAGGAAGGATACCTCAACACAATGAAGCTTCATCCCCCCTGGATAAATAATTCACTTTGGCACCTTAACTGCCATGACTCAATACAACAGAATTCTAGAAATTGTAGTCTTGTGAGACATCTAGCCTTCTCTGTAGAGAGCACTTGTACCACAGCAAACTATAAATCCCAAGATTCCACAGCATTGAGCCCTAACAGTTAAAGTAGTCTCAAACTGGATTATTTCTTACAGTGCGGATGCAGCCTGAGGCACCCCATCAAGAAAACTGCCAAAGTTTTTTTTTATGGGATTTTTTTTTAAAAAAATTGAAAATTCTTTTGTGCACAAAAAAGGGAATTTTACAAAAAAAAAACCCAAAACACCCAAAATAAGGGGGAAATAACTAAAAATCCATTAAGAACTCTCATAATTCTGCAGCACAGAACAAACAAAATAAGTGACTATTTACACACACCTAGGTTCAGATCCTCCCTTCTTTCCTGTCTTTTAAGGCTCTTCTTAAGCTGCCTACGCAAATATTCAAAACATGGGGTTTTGTGGCTTTTAGAAATGTCTTACAAAAATCCTGACCTTAGCCTTTGCATGCATCTACAGGAAATATAGAGAAATAATAGTTCCACAATCCTTCAGAGACCAAAAGAATGTATAAGCCAAACAGGGCATGCCACCTTTTGGCTCTAACCATCAAGAAGGTTAAAGTGGATCTAGGTAAATGTACATGTAGTGGAATTATCACTACTTAGTAATTACCATTAGAAAACACAGCAGGCTCATATTTCAGCTCCTTAATGGAACATTTTATTCAGCCTTTTCAAAAGAGTGTCCTCAAGGCAGCTAAAAACATTTAAATTAACAAACTAAAATATGCAGTAATAAATTCACACACCATCTATTTATGATAGATCTAAAAGGCATTAAAAGCCAAGTCCAGGCAAGCGCAGAAAATGGTTTCCACCTTTGGTACAGGAGAAAACTGATCTTGTCCATCATGCAAACCACTTGTAGGAATGGGAGTTTCAAAGTGCCATCACTGAAAAGATCCCGAGTTGTAAGAAAAACCATCTACCTTATTATGGCTCACGTAGTCATGGAAAGTACCTTTTTTGAGCTCTGTTCAGGCTATATAGCCTGCTAATACCAATAAGGAACTTTTATTTTTTTATCATACAGCTGTAACCCCTAGTCTTGTGGTTCCCAAACTTTGGTCCTCCAGATGTTTTGGACCACAGCTCCCAGAATTCCTGATCGTTGGCCAAGCTGGGTGGGACTTTTGGGAACTGAAATGCAAAGGATCAAAGTTTGAGGATTGGTTCTCTAATCAATATTTCTAGTTCTACCACAGTGACTGCTATCAACACTGTATCTCCCTCTTCAACCAAGAAAAAGTATTTCAGCTTCTGTGGCAAATCAGACAGAAGTCAGCCAAAGCACCAAAAATAAATAAATAAATAAATAAATAAATTTTAAAAAATTAAAAATTAAAAAAATATGCATGCACTCTGTCTCAGCCCCGGAAAAGCCATGGCAAAACCCCTGTGGAGATTTTGCCAAGAAAACCCCAAGAACAAGTAATAACAACAATAATCAATATCATCATGGCAGGCAGCAGCAGCGGCGGCAGCGGGGGGCGGCGGAGGCAGGACTGGCCTGGGGCCGGTCCAAAGGCCTCAGGGGGCCGCATTCGGCCCCCGGGCCTTAGGTTGACTACCCCTGCTGTATACTCTACTTTTGTGCCAAAGGAATACTGTCTTTCCTTGGTGCAATGGGAGACATTTTAGCTGCTTGGCAGAGCCCCGGGTTCAATCCTTCCTGCCAAGCAGTGTGAACAACCGTTGTGTGTCTGAGCAGGTAATATTGGAACAAAGAGTCTGCACTTGTAGAAAGCAACTTCCTACAACTCTATGGTTTAACAAAGCTTCGCTAAAGCTGAAAACTACGACAAACAGGAGGCACGCATTGCGGTCTTCATAATTTTCCTCCTCTTCCACTCTCTCCAGCTTCATAGACATTGGGAATGTTATGTTCTTTTGGCAAGGCTGGGAGATTTTGGCCTCAGACAGCACAAGTTAGGGGATGCTGGGCATCTTATACTCAAAAAAAAAAAAAAAATGAATTAATTTCATGTTCTGTGGCTTGGCCACAATCCTATGTATTGCTAACCTCCTCTTCGCTCATCCCAGAGCCCTTTCACATCCCACACACTCCTGGAGATCTGACATGAGGCAGGAGGCTGTAAAGCCCATAGCCAGGGAGCATGCATGGACAAGCAAAGCCAACACTTGCCTTGGTGCGAAAGAGAAGCCTCATCATCATCACCACAGCTGCCTGGGAGCTGCTCCCACCATCGCCTATCGGTCACCCTCCCCAGAGCAGGATCATCCCGCGCCAGCAGCTCTGTCTCAACTGGACATATTCTGGAACTTTTTTGCACAGAGGAAGCTGCTGCAATTTCCCCACTGATAAACCACAAAGAGCATTTCCAGCACAGAGACACAGCTGATGAATCAGATAGGTAGTGATAGTGGAGTGTGTGTTTAAGGGATGAGAGTCAGAGCTTGGAAACATAGCTTTTTTTTTTTTTTTTTGGACTACAACTCCCAGAATTTCCCTGATGGCTGGAAAATTGGGAGAACTCCCAAAGAGTAACTTTTTCAAAATTTACACATGAGTTCTGGTACGATCCTAACAAGAGCCAGTGTGGTGTAGTAATATGAGTGTTGGACTACAACTCTGGAGGCCAGGGTTTCATTCCCCACTTGGCTATAAAAACCTACTGGGTGACCATGGGCAAGTCACACACTCTCAGCCCCAGAAAATCCTGTGATACATTCGCCTTAGGGTCACCATTAGTTGGAAATGACTTAAAGGCACACAACAACATCAAGAAGGACCCTAACACACCTCCATTTAGAAGATGCCCCTAAATATATTCTTTATAGTCGTCTATGATTTAGAGCTTGAGTTGCATTTTGACATGACAAGGTAGATATGTGCCACAAAATGTTGCAGTAGCTTATGAGGGCTCTGGAAATGCAGCTAGAACAATGGCTCCAGCTGGTTTTGATGGAGCCAGCGTGGTGTAGTGGTTTGAACATTGGACTATGACTCTGGAGACCAGGGTTCAATTCCTGCTTGGCTGGGTGACTTTGGGCAAGGTCACATGCTCTCAGCTTCAGGTGATGGCAATGGCAAATCTCCTCTGAACAAATCTTCAGAAAACCCCATGAACATCTTGAAGCCACACAACACACATGGGTTTTGACAAGCTAGTACTTTTGCATTATATTCGTTGAAAGAAAGGCAAACAAACAAATACTCAACCAAAATACACAGATTCCTCTTTTAAAAATTGGAAAAGCAGGTATCACCTCTAGATCAAGACGCATAAATCTGACCACACTGACTACTTATATTCTGGGCCCCATTTGTTCTGTTCTCATGTCAACTGTGCAACAAGAGGATAAAGACACAATATCTAAGGTGGTTCTTACTAAATAACCCTCCATAGTAATTTAGAATCAGCCTTCATGGAAAAAGAACTGGCTTCAGCCCACAGTAGATCGGATGTATGATGGCTTTATTGTATGCTAAGAATGCTGCCGTTCTCCTCTCCTTTTCTTTCCAGCTTGGGCACAATGCCCTTTATGCTTCGATAGCAGTTGGTAGGCTGATGGCCCTGGGCAACTTTGGGGCACCGTGACTTTCCCAGCAGGTGAGAGAAAAGCAAAATCAGCTACCATTGTGTATCAAGATCATACATACCCTGTAGATTAAGTGGCGAAAACAGTATTTAGTTACAAGCAGCATGAAAGCACAGATCAGCATTTCATAAACAGGAAGCTGCTGGTATGATGAAGGCACTCCAAAACAGCAGCTGTCTTTATGCTATGTGCTAGACTTCTGGCCTTGCTCCAACAATTGCATGCTAAAAATGTTCACATGAGCTCCCTCCATCCATCCTCGCTTTGGTCTCATTGTGGCAGTAACTGAAGGAGCCCTGTTTCTCATACCGACCTGCCTACACTCTTAAGGGAATCTGCAGAGGCCATTCTTATTACGTTCTCCTCTGCAGATGGCAGGATGTAGGAGAACAAAGGAGAAATGCCATTTTCCACTGTGATGCACAGAGGAGAAAATGCCCTCCTCACCGAGGCTCATCTGACACCAACATTACTTTCTTCTGGGTGCCAGGCAAAAATTGCTTTTAATTCTTCCAGGCATTTTCAAACACTGAAAGCTGCCTTAAACTAAGCCAGACCATTGTTCCATCTAGTTCAACATGTTCTAGAACAAGAGGGGCACTTCCAGAATGACGCAGGCGTGCCTTGCTGTAATATATAGCCAGGGCTGCACTTTTCCCTCTCTCTACATGTCCAGGAAAAGGAGGCCCTCTGGTCACCCTGCAACAGAGACAGCCATTATACCAGCTCAACGCAATTCTAAGGACGTTATCACACGTGGGCCAGAAAGCAAAAACAAAGTGGAAATGAGGCATTCCGAAAATAAACTGAAAATGAACCTTGATTCCGCAAACAGCTTTCACATGCGAATTTACAGTAAGCGCATTTAACGTTCACACACAAGCGAGAAAA